GGGTGTTTTACAGGGACAACATTCCTTACCCTGTGGTGCCCTTCATCCTTCCTTTCCATACCAGACCCCAGGGATGCCTGCACTGCCCAACACTCCCCATCTCACCTCCTGCCCCGTGCCCACCGTGGTCTGGAGGGATCCATGGATGCTGCTCCTTGTCCACGTCCCTGCAGCAGGAGGAGGCACCTGGGTGATGGTTTGAACGGGTGTCACCAACCTCCAGCTGCTGGTCTGGAGCTCAGAGAAGCCCAGGAAGGGTCTCACCCTTTCCCAAACTGCTGTTGCACTGGGAAGTGATCTGGCAAAGCACCTCCTCTCCCTGTGGCCAAAGCCCCTCTCCCTGTCCAAGTGCATCCCCCAAACTGGGCTCCACCATTCCTGTCCCCAAAGCAAGGCTCCACCATCCCTATGCCCAAAGCTGGGCTCCACCACCCTTATCCCCCAAAATGGGCTCCACCATGCCCAGCCCCAAAGCTGGGCTCCACCATCCTTATCCCCCAAAAGTGGGCTTCAACATCCCTGTCTCCTAAACTGGACTCAACCATTCCCAGCCCCAAAAAAGTTCCATCATCCCTGTCCCCAAAGCTGATGCAGCCTTGCACTGCCACTGGTCCTGGTCCTTCAATGTTTTAAAGAAAACCAGCAAAGCAAACTGCACATCTTGTGGTGGGTCCCAGGTGTTTGCAGACCTCTAATCTAAGACTGGTCTTGACAAACTGGAGGGAATCCACCTGGAGCCCAGGACGCAGGAGAAAGCTGGGTTTGGCCAGCCTGGAAGGAGAAGGCTCTGGGAGCCTCACCTCTGGCTTTGGCTGTCTCCTGGGAGGGCTGCAGGCGGAGCCAGGGGCTGCTCAGGGTGCACAGGGATGGAACAAGAGCCAATGGCACATGGTGCTGCCAAGAAAATTCCCAAGAAAAACCCCCTTGAGGGTGGTGCAGTGCTGGGATGGGGCCTGGAACAGAGATGGGATCTGCATCCTTGGAGACACAGCTCGCTTGAGTAAGACCCTGAGCAACCTCCCCTGGCCTTCAAGGGGACCCTGACCCAAGAGACCCAGGAGGTGCCCCCACCCCACCCCTTTCTGTGTTTGAGACAGGAGCAGAGGATCTCCTGAGCTGCCAACACCGGCACAGCACCAACACAGCACCAGTACAGCACCAGCATAGCACCAGTACAGCACCAGTACAGCACCAGCACAGCACCAGCACCAGCAGTTTGCACAACAGTGACCACAGCTCTTGTGCAAAGGGGGCAGAGCCAGAGGGTTTCAAAGCCACCACCTGAGTCCTTCCCCTGCGGTGTCACCATCCCTTAGAGGAGCAGGAGGAGGGTTTTTCAAAGGCTCCCGAGGCAGTTGGTGGTATCAGAGCTGATAACTGAGTGTCACAATGAGGGACTTAATTCGGAGAATCACAGAATGGTTTCGGTTGGAAGGGACCTTAAAGCTCATCCAGTCCCACCCCCTGCCATGGGCAAGGACACCTTCCACTAGCCCTGGTTGCTCCAACCTGGCCTTGGACACTTCCAGGGATGGGGCAGCCACAGCTTCTCTGGGCAACCTGTGCCAGGGTCTCACCACCCTCACAGGGAAGAATTCCTTCCCAATATCCCATCTATCCCTGCCCTCCGGCAGTGGGAAGCCATTCCCCCTTGTCCTGTCCCTCCATCTCTTGTCCAAAGTCCCTCTCCAGCTCTCCTGGAGCCCCTTTAGGCGCTGGAAGGGGCTCTCAGGTCTTGCCAGAGCCTTCTCTTCTCCAGGTGAACCCCCCCATCTCTCCCAGCCTGGCTCCAGAGCAGAGGGGCTCCAGCCCTCTGACCATCTTGGGGCCTCCTCTGGACTCTCTCCAGCAGCCCCATGTCCTTCCTGTGCTGTTCTCCAGGGCTGGAGGCAGCTCTGCAGGGTGGTCTGCTGTGGGATCAGCCCAGGGCATGGGGGGTTTCTGGGCTGGGTCATGCAGAGCTTCTCATCCACCAACATCCCCAAACCCTTCCCCCAGGGCTGCTCTCCCTCCATTCTCCTCCAGCCTGGATTCACACCTGGCATTGCCCTGACCCAGGTGAAGCACATTGCACTTGGCCTCCACGAGGTTTGCACAGCCCCACCTCTCCAGCCTGTCCAGGCCCCTCTGGATGCCCCATCCCTTCCCTCCAGTGTGTGACAGCACACACAGCTCGGTGTCACCGGGACACCTGCTGGGGCTCCATGGATCCCACCGTCCATGTCACCAACAAGGATGTTAAACACACCGACCCCTGAGAAGCACCACTCCAAACTGCCCTCCAAAAAAACTGCTCTCAAACCGCTTCAGAAACCACGAAAGTGGGAGGTTTGGGAGATGCTTTGTCTCTTGTTCATTTTTCCTGGAGACCACGATCCTGCTCCCAGATCACGGTGTGTGGGAAAGGCCATGGGTCTGGCTGAGCCTTCTGCTGAGCACCCACACAAGCACCAAACCCTTGTGCCCCTCATCTTGTGCTCAGAGGAGAGATCAGATGCTGCTCCTCTGGAGTATGGAAACAGGAGGTGCCATCCACCCCTGGGCACAGTGATTAAAAGCAGAGGATGCGAAGCAGAACACCTGGCTTATATTTGCATTTTACCTTTTTGTTTGTTTGTTTGTTTCCTTTTTTGCCTTTTGTGTTCAGCTACAACAGCCTGAAGGTCTTACACCTTTCTCAAGGAGACTTCAGTGAGTTTTGCTGCTGTGCAGCCTGCCTGGTGCTGGGGAACCAGCAGAACTAGGGAGACTTTGCTAAAGGATGGGTCTGTGTCTGTCACAGCTACATTTTCCCGAGGGCAGAGAGACAACACACACCTGGTCACAGCTCAGCTGAGGAGGGAGGATGGAAGCACCAGGAGAGAGGGAGCCAGGCAGGCACCAGCTTCAGACATGGACCCCAGCTCTGGGAAGACCCCAAAACCTTCCAGTTGCTGCTTCTCTTCCTAAAGCTCCTGTTCTTCAGTTCATGCCCTGATGAACTGATAAAAGCAACGACAGTTTCTTTCAAAAAACCTCAAACAACTCACTTAGGAAACTCCAGCTGGTAAATTCGGTTAGAGAGGCAACCAACTTCCCCAGGGGGAGGGCAAGTGCAGATAAAGAACTGGGTCACTGAGGAGTTTCTTCACTGAATTCTGCCTTGGGAACTCCCTCAGAGCTGCAGCAGCTTCATCACTCCAAAGCCTTTGGTCTGTCCCTCCCTGACTCCCGTCCAGCACAGGACCTGGTGTCTCACTGCAATATCCAGATCCTTGTGAAACAAAGGAGCAGCAGCTTCCCAAAGAGTCCCTCCTGCCATGGGAATCCTGCAGAATCCCCACGAAAGCTCAGAGGGACTTCTACCACCTTGGCTGGATTCGCAGAGGCTCAAGGTGCATGAGCACTCCATTGCCCCAGTGTTTAGGCACCAGTGGCCTTTGCAGAGCCCCCACAGAGCCCAGTCTCGAGTGTCCACGGTTCCACTGGTGGGACCACGAGGCACCAACCACCCAGTGAGCTGTAGGAACAAGGTACAGAGCCAAGACCTGTGGTCTGACCCCAGAGCTTTTGGGATTTCCTTGTTTTTCCCTCTTTTAGCCAGTGTGTATTGAAGCCGTTCCAGCTGGAGGAGAGGGGAAAACCTCCTTTTCTTCTCCTTTCCTGAGGTCAGATGTCTCAGAGAGCAGCTCTGCTCAGTTCAACACCTTCGAGGCAAACAGGCACAACGACTCAGTCTGTCTCCAGCATCTCCCCCCCTCCCTGGCCAGATCAGAGACCATAGAAGGGAGCTGGAGCAGGTCCACACAGGAGGATTGGACAGGGAGTAGCCCAAAACTCTTGTGCCTGCCGTGGTGGCACCACAAAATCAACACCAGTAATAACGACATTTTTGGCAACACATTCAGACTTTTGCAGCAGCCCCAGAACAACCCCAAACTGGGAGTCACAGAGACAGCCAAGCCTCCCCAGGCACAGCACAGATTCAAGGCTCCCAGCACGAGGTTGGTATCTCTGGGGTGTGAAAAATGGGAGAAGACCTGGCAACCACCTCTGAGCAGCTGCTGGCAGTGCTTGCACAGGTCCTGCAGGCTGGACAGGGTAGTCACTGCTGGCACAAAACGTGCCTGGACTCTCTGGAAGTTGCATCAGATGTTTCAGAGGCCTGTGAGTGACTGTGGATTCCACCCACCAGACTGTTGTGGTGGGGCTGGTCTCTACTGGGGACATTTTCCTGACAAAGCAGATGGTTGTGTTGGTCCATCATCTGGACAATCCCAGCCTGCCCTGTCAGCACAGCAGGAAAAGAAGCCAACATCTGCAGGGACACACTGATGTTTCTCCACAGGCATGTGCTCCCAGCCTGGATGAGGGGGCTCATTGTGGAGGAGCCAATTAAAACAAGGAAAGCACCAAATCACAGAATCATGGAATCACAGAATGCTTTGGGTTGGGACTGTAAAGCCCATCTTATTCCACCCCCTGCCATGGGCAGGGACACCTTCCACTAGCCCAGGTTGCTCCAAGCCCCGTCCAACCTGACCTTGGACACTTCCAGGGATGGGGCAGCCACAGCTTCTTTGGGCAACCTGTGCCAGGGCCTCTCCACCCTCATAGGGAGGGATTCCTTCCTATTATCTAACCTAAACCCACCCTCTGTCAGTTTGAAGCCAGTCCCCCTTGTGCTGTCCCTCCATCCCTTGTCCCCAGTCCCTCTCCAGCTCTCCTGGAGCCCCTTTAGGCCCTGGAAGGGGCTCTCAGGTGTCCCTGGAGCCTTCTCCAGGTGAACCCCCCCAGCTCTCCCAGCCTGTTTCCAGAGCAGAGGGGCTCCAGCCCTGGGAGCACCTCTGTGGCCTCCTCCCCCTCAGCCCTGTGCTCTTCCCACCCTGGAGCACCATACACGGGTCTGTCCCACTGAGAAGGTGACACAGAAGGTGCAGAACATTCCATAATCGGGGATTGTTTCCCTCTCTGCCCTCCCCAACCCTTCCCAAAGAAGCATCACCGAATCCTTGGCTTTTTTAAGGAAAATGTATTTTTGTGAAAATAGACTTTATTATAATAAAATTTGATATTAAATAAAAACAAACTGTACCACCACCACTCGTGGACACTGTGCTGGCACCACCCACGTACCTCACCTTCCAAAAACAAGGAACTGGAACATGCAACGGAAGAAACACGGGAAAGGGCAGGAACCATGTGGTACAAAACCCTCCCTGGCTTGGAAAGGGATGTGTCTGAACTCCAGGAGCACATCATCTCCCAGGAAAACAGCTGCAAACTCTCTCCATCCATCCCCCAGCCCCACTCTTCCCAACGCTCCAGGCTCCAGAGCAGCCTGGAAAACAGCCCAAGGGAACCGCGGGAAGAGGCGGCCGAGAAAGAAATAAATAAACAAATAAATAAATAAATAGAGAAATAAATAATGAGCTCAAGAAACCCATAAATAAACTGATAAATAAACAAATCATAAGGCGGAGGCCCCAGCCAGGCCGTGGTCAAGGTGGACCAGGCGGGAGCAGCTTTTCAGCAGCCCAAGCCAGACGCTGAAGGACCAACTCCCAGCAGGGCACTGTTCCTTCCTCCATGGGAATATCCTGGTGCTGGATCCTGACTGAGGCAGTGTGGGATGCTCTAGGCACAGCTGCATATTTACAGTTTACAGTACAAATCAGAACTCACTCGTCAGCCCAGAGACAGCAAAGGGGAGTCAGGGAACAGAAAAGTGCAACTTTTCTTTGCGGGAAGTGAAGGAGTTGCCACGAGCTCCTTTGGAGCAAAGAAATACCAGGGGGTGGAGTACAAGGGGTCTCTTCCTAAGGGGCTTTGCTGGGAAAAGCCAGTTAGCTAAATTACAGCCAGAATAGAATTCTGAAATGAAAATATTTACAGGGAACCAGTGCATGGAGGGAGCTGCACCCCAGAGATCAGCCCTCACACCCCCAGAGCCACTGTCCCCCTGGGGGGGCTCTCAGCAGGCACAGCTCCCACACCCACTCCACAATTTTCTCAAGTCACACTTCTTCCCTATGAAAATAATCAGCTTATTGCAGGGGGTTTCTCCTGAACTCTCAGTCTCTGTGCAGAATAACCCCCTTGTTAGTTTTTCTTATTGGACCCAAGTTTTTTGAAGAGGTTTTTCCCTTTGAAGAAGAAGCTTCTCTTCTTTTTACTCTGCCCAGGGTCGTCGCTGCAGGTGAGAAGGGGCAGCGATGCCTGCTCTGGACACGGGACAAGGCAGGAAGGTGGTGGAGAAGGAGGAGTTGGTGAGGAGTCACTCTGATCAATGCATCCATCTGGGTTCAGCTGGGGGGGGGGGAAACAGAAAGCAAAAGAAAAAAGCAGAAGTTAGAGCTGCTGAAGGATGTCACACCAACACAAACTCGGAGTTCTCTAACTCGGCCTTCTCCCCACCAGTCTCCTCTGGGAAGGTGCAGGTCCAGTTAGGAAGTTTCCAGTGGATTGAACTTTTAGTACCCAGGGCCCAGGCCCTGCCTGAGCTCTGACATTCCGAAATTCCTGAACTTTGGGCTAAGAAGAGGAGAGCAGAAAAGCCCCACTAAAAGACCTGATGCTGCTCCACAGCTGAGTAAGTGAAGCAGCTCCTGAGAGTGCGAATGGAGACAGGTACTGATGCATCCATGGATCCCTGGGCCAGGGAGCCTGGTGGGCTCCAACAGACTCTGGGACAGAAGGCAGGACATTAACAAAATCAAATTTCGTAAGAACAAGGGCTGTGCAAGACCTAAGGCAACAGGTTCCTGCTCTGCAGACCCAAATTCAGAGCCAGTGCAAGGGGAAGCTGCGTTGGATTTCTGGTACGGAGGACTGGAGACAAATGGAAAGGTCTGAAGGGAAGGCAAGGCTGAAACATGGCTATTTTATAGGGGTCGTTTTAACACACTTAAAAGGCATTTCTGTTTAAAAAAGTGTCATGAAACACAGGAAAAGAGCTTCCAACCCTCAGCATGCAGGGATATCTGGGCCAAACTGCTGCATCCAGGGGATCAGTCACCCTCGAACAGCCAGAGCAGGGGAGGCCCTGCCCATGCACCACTGGAAACCACTTTCCTGGCAAAGGTGGAACACTTTCAGCGCAGATCTGGTGGCCCAGCAGACAATTCCTCCTGTAGGGTTGTGGATGGAAGGCCCTGTGCAACCTGAGAGGCAGGTACCCAACCCAACTCACAGTCACAATTATTTACTGTCATAAGGACATTGCAGCATCAATGTCGGCATCAAATATCAAACAGCTCAAAGGCAGTGACAGGCAGTGCCCTTCCTGGGGCTGGAAAGTCCCATCCTGCTGACTCCCAGCTGTGGAATAGGATGCCCAGGCAGTTCCACACCTGAGACACTCTCTCCCACACAAAGACATGCAGGTATTCTCAGAGGTCTCTGTGTGGCAGAAAAGCAACAGAACCAGTTCACAGAATCACCTGGTAAGAAACAAATGATACTAAAATTGGGGTTTCTTCTCCAAGAGAAAAATAAAGGAAAAACTGCTCTGGCAAGATCCTCATACAAGTTATTAGAGTTGATAAACAGAATCCTGAGTGATGTCGGTTTTCAGGGGGTGGTTTCAGTGCTCTCTCAGGTATTACTGACTTGCATAATTTCTAGAAAACAACAGAAAAAAAAACAGAAAAGAAAAACACAGATCTGCTCCCCGAAACCAGGGGTCTCACCCACCCAGCCCCAAAGTTGTTTAAGTGTCGACAGAACAATTATCCACACAAGGTTGGTTTTGGGGACTAAATGTTACTATTTTCTTCAATTGAGGGTGTGCAGGGGGGGTTCAGGACTGCTGTCAGGAAGGAGTAAAATCAAGAAGGCAAAAAGTCCAGGGTGAGTGTGCTCAGCCTGAGCAGGAGCTTGCAAAGGTCAAACAAAGTTGATGTGGACAGTGGTAGAAGGGCCAGGCTGAATTACAAAGCAAGTCTTTCCCAAACCTGAATATCCTGGTCCCCAAAACCTCCTGATAATTGTTCCAAACAATGTGCTGAACAGATCATGGCTTGTCTTTGACACAGAACCCATCTGGCAGGGAAAAGTCTGACACGAGGGGGTCTGAAGGGGGACCTGCCAGCACAGCCCCAAACCAGCCTGCCAAACTACAAGCAAGAAAAGGAGCAAACTGCAGGGGCAGGACCCTGTGAAGTGCTGGGTGGGAGGTTGAAGGTCTTCTCACACACACTTACATGGTTGCTCTCTCTATGTATCATTCATATCTATCACTGGACTCTTCTCTTCCTCATTCTCTGAAGAAAAGAACCGTCCCGGGTGCGTAACACAGGCAGAAATAAATACATGACATCAATTAGAATCAAACACTTTCTGAAGGTGCTTTACAATCAATCAGTCTTTGACAGAAACTGCAAGTTACTGATGCAAAAATAATCCTTGGACAGCCATAGCATTAAAGCCAACTGCTCTGAGCTGGTGCCCACGAGTGTTTTGGGGCCCTGCTTGTGACCAGAACTTCTTGGATCCTCCTCTTTTTGCTGTTGTTTTTTGTTGTTTATCTAACCCCCAAATGTTGTCAGTTCATAAGTTAAATTGCTTCACCTTTTCAGTTGCCAGCATTTTAAGATTTACTCAGAAATCATTCAAAATGGTCCACCTTCCCCAAGTATCAATTTGGAAATAAACTGTCCTTATTCTCAGGCCTTTGGAAGGGCAGCAGGGAGAAGGGGAGTGACAGACAGGGGGAAAACATCAAATCCAAGAAGTTACAAGTGATTTAAGAAATCACTCACATGATCATGCTGGAGAAGCTTCTGGCTAAGCTTTAACCAATTCCAAAGCTGTGCCATGGTGCACACACATGCCCCCTGAGTGCCAGGGCTCAAGCTGGGATTGGGAATTTGCTGGGAGCCTGTTTTGCCAACAGCAGATTGAACAAGCAAGTTTCTTAACTCTGTGGAGTGAATATGACCCTGGAGTTTGGAAAGCCCCAGGTATGGCTCTATCACTGTGAGAGTTCATTCCAGCTCAGGGATGGATATGGAACATGTTTGGGTTACAGGAGGAGATATTTCTTCCTTCTGCTTTCCCCATCAGGTGTTCTGCCCACAGGTTGGGATGCTGGGATTGCTGTGACTGAGCCCAAACCTCTGTGGGCTCAGGTTCTGCCTCCTCAGTTATCACTGAACACACTTAAATGCAGTTCATTAATACAAGTTTGGTTCTGAGCAGGGTAAATGTACCACTTTTAAAAGGGGGAAAAGGTGCCCTTCATGTTGGGAAGCTGTTGAGACAGATCTGGATTGCAAAGCACAAGCAGGAGGAGTGCTAAGAGGGCTAAGCCAGAATTCCTCAAGACAGGGATCCAGGTGAATCAGGGATGAAGCAGGACAGGAGTCAGGCTGGCACAACACACAAGCAGCCAAGGCACAGTCATGTCTACAGAGTTCAAGTTGATTCCCACTGAAATAAAATTGGTTTAATCATCACCATTACATCATTAATAATCAACTGAATTTTCCAAGCCTTCAGACTACAGAGAACAGCAGTTCATGGATCAGGAGAGTACCAAAAGTACCAAATCCATCCTAAACTAAGGCAGCAGGTTCCTGCTCTGTAGACCCCAAGTCAGAGCCAGTGCAAGGGGAAGCTCCAATAGATCTCTGGCACAGAGAACTGGAGACAAATGGGAAGGTCTGAAGGGAAGGCAAGGCTGAAACTTTATATGGGCTGTTCTAACACACTTGAAAGTGTAAAAAAAAAAGTGTCCTGCATCACAGGAAAAAAGCTTCCAGCCTTCAGCACACAGGGATATCTGGGCCTACTGTGTCCAGGGGATCAGTAACCCACTGCTGAGCCCAGCAGGAGTGCAGAGCAGAGAGGAGAGTGGTTTTGGCTTTACAAACCCTTCACACCTGCAAGTGGCAGAAAGGTTACCTGAATTCCCCCCTGGTTTCCAGGAGAACCCAGGCTGAGGCTGGAATAACAACCCCCAGCACCTGAAACAGGCCCTTGTGCTGCTGGAGGGAAGGGTGAGATCTGCAAAAAGCTACACTGAGAATTCCACCTGGTTTAGTTTTACTGGTTCAGGTCTCATTTGGCACCCTCTATTCCAAGAGATGAGTTAATTTGGGAAGAGCAAATCATTTTGAGAGGGAAGCTGAAGAAAGAACCCCAGAAATTCAGACTTGTGTCACCTCTGGGCTCTTAAACCCTGGCAGTAACAGCTGATCAACCTGTGATTCCCAGCACGGACCAAGTTCCTAAACAGGGAAGCACAGGGCACCCAGACAGCTGCTGAGCTCAGAAGATGATCCAAAAAGCTGCCCACAAATCTCATCTCTGAACCAGGCCTGCTCTGTGTGAGAAGGCATCAAGGCTGGGGTGCAAATCCTGTACCCACAGAGCCTGGAATGCCTGGAAGCAAGGGATGGGGCTGAGGTGGAGCCTAAGGGAGATCAAGCAGCATTTGAAGATCGAGAGGGGAGGTGGATACAGAGAAAAGAAGAGCTGAGCATGAGAAATAAGCCAAGGAATTCTGTAGAGAGCAGGGAAGCTGGGGTGGCACCAGTGGAATGTTCAACAGAGCTGGATGCAGGGCCACACATTCCCTAAGGACTGGCTCAGAGCCAGCCTGGGCCTGCTCCAACACTCCTGTGGGTCTGGCACCACCACAAAGTGCCAACAACCTCCCAAGAAGAACTGAAGGCTGAGCACATGTGAGCTGGGACTGAGCTGGGTCTCTCCCTGTCTCCCACCCTGGAGTGACACAAGGCCCTGGAATGATCAGGGAGCTGCTTTTGGCCTCACCCCCTGAGGACTCACTGAGCCTGGGAGATGACCCAAATTTCCTACCTGAGCATTTGTTCCAGGAGTATCAGCAAAATACTACAAGGGGTTGGCTTAATTCCCTCTGAATTCCCTGCATCTGTGGGATGCTTTCAAAGCTCTAGGATCCATCCCACAGATCCGTTTGGGAAACTCCTCAGTGTGTTTTGAATTTACCCAGGAGCACCTTGGTCTGGATTAAGATACATCTGACTCAGGGTGGGTGGAAGAGCATTGATGTTTGGGAGTCACTAATTCCAGAACTCTCTGGCATGGATACGAGCATAACTGAGGAATTTCCTGTGTCTGGGGAGCCGCTGAAGTGCTTTGCTTGCAGCAGGATTTCACCACTGACCACCCTGTGGACCCAAACAATTTTCTGGTGGGATTTGGGATGCTCTTTGCACAATGAGACTGAGGCCTCAGCAGGTTTTACTGCTTTGTGCCTGCTTTTGCACTACAAGTCCTAGGGAAGACCTCCCAGCACTCCCTCTAAACCTCTGAGTGTCTCCCATGGGATGAACTGGGCTCATGCAGCAAGTTCAGTGATTCCATCCATCCTGCATGCTGTGCAAGGCCACTTCCAGCCACATCCCAGCCTGGATGCCTGTCCATGCAGTCACACATCTTACCTGGCTCTCAGCACTCAGAGGAGAAGCTTCTTTATCTTTTGAGTGAAATTCCTCCCCCACGTCTCCATCCGAAGGAGCAGCTTCCAAGAAGTTGGATGGGACAAGCCCCCTCTGTTGGTTCAGCTCTCCCTGCAAGGTGAACATTCAGTTCTCACATCAGGTTTCCTGGCTCCTGGAGAAATAGTAACCTGAGGTGCAGAGAAGGCTGGGAAGTGGCCTGAGAGAAGCCCAGAACACCCCCATAGTGGAAGGATCCTCAGCAAATCCCACAGCTCACACCCTTGTTAGCTGTGGAACAATTCAGAGCCCAAAAACACAGGAGAGAATAAAGGAAGAAAAGCAAGGCAGGACAAAGGTATTCCAGCAACATGGTCCCTTCTACAAACTCAAGAAATGTCCACTGCCATCCTGGAAGCAACTGGAAGATGACTGTGCCACAGGCTTTCCAGAGGCCTTTGTTTTGCTCTGGGATTTATTAATGTTCTTAAAGAATGAGGCATTACTGGTACAGTGTCCTGCAGGCATTGTATCCCTGATCACTGAGCTGCATTATTTATCCCTAGGAAATTGTCTCCAGTTCAACAGGAGATGGTTGGGTGAGGCAAAACCCACCCTGGCAACATTGTTTGTCCAAGACTATGAAAACATTCCCTGTGATCCCCTCCAGCCTTAATCTGGAGTTGGAACCTCAGCTTTGATGTGTGAGGACACACAGCTTTCCATGCAGGAAGAGGTGGATGATCCAAGGGCCAAGGCTCGTGTTCACACAGAGCTGGGGGCAGACACAGCCCCCAGGGAGGTGTTGGTGTTCCTGGGGCACCATTTCAGCCTCCTGCCCAAGTATCCCAGTGCCTGGTGATGGATCAGCTCAGAGAAGAAGCTGCTTCTGCCCAGATATGCACGGACAAATGTGTGGAGGCTTTGGGAAACCTGCAGGCAAGTGATGCCAAAAAAGAAACTCAGAACCACTGGGATATTTAAGGGCCACGAAGATGATTTGAGGGCTGGAGCCCCTCTGCTCTGGAGCCAGGCTGGGAGAGCTGGGGGTGTTCACTTGGAGAAGAGAAGGCTCCAGGGAGACCTGAGAGCCCCTTCCAGGGCCTAGAGGGGCTCCAAGAGAGCTGGAGAGGGAATGGGGACAAGTGGGAATGGCTTCAAACTGACAGAGGGTGGGTTTAGGTTAGATAATAGGAAGAAACTCTTGGCTATGAGGGTGGTGAGGTCCTGGCACAGGTTGCCCAGAGAAGCTGGAAGTGTCCCCATCCCTGGGGGTTGCCCCATCCCTGGAAGTGTCCAAGGTCAGGTTGGACGGGGCTTGGAGCAACCTGGGCTAGTGGAAGGTGTCCCTGCCCATGGCAGGGGGTGGAATAAGAGGAGCTTTACAGTCCCTTCCAGCCCAAACCATTCCATGATATTGGGTTTACAGCAGGAACATGGATTGCCAGAAACAAACTGCCCTGCACTGAGTAAAATTGGGGTTGGTTCTTTTCCAAATTCAGAATCATTTGTTCCCTGATTTCTGCTTTCCTGCCACTCAACAGACTCCAACAACTTCCAATGCAGCCACAGGACCTTCCCAACCCCTGCACTTACATAATAGAATCCATCATCATCCATGGAGCCAAACACAGTGATGACGTCCCCAGCACTGAAAGTCAGTTCAGCCTGCAAAGAGTGAGAGAACAGAGGTCACAGGAGAGGCTCTGCCTGGGATTTCCCTCCAGGAACACAGGCTCCCCTGGGCTTCTTGCACAATGACCCTGGCAGAGGGAGCCCACTGTGTTTAGTCTTGTAGGACCCGGATTCAGAAGAGCAACTGAAGTGGACACCTGTGGAATTCACTGCTAAGGAAGCATTTAATAAATTGAAGACAAGAGCCAAGCCTGTTTCTTAAAGCAGTTTTAATAAAGCTTCAAAATCGGACCTACCACCTGCTCTGGAAAGGTGTGTCGAGGATAAGCTGAGCAAACACAGAAATACCTTTAATTTCTTTCAGTATAATTACAAACCCTGCTCCCTTGGAGGAGCCTGTCTGTGTGCAGTGCTCAGGGATTAGTCACTGGCAGGAATCCACACAAACAGGGAGATCCGACCTGGAAGGAGAACCTGCCACACCACTGTCACACCCTCTGTCCTGTCAGACACCCCAGCACACGCTCTGGGGGGCACAGGGCCAAAGACAAAAGGTGTCAGCAGCCCCTTCTAATGGAACAATCTGCCCAGTGGAGGCTCCAAACAGGTTGTGTCCCACTCAAGACACTCTGGCACTTCCCAAGTGTCAGCTGGAAGGCACCTACTTCCAATATGTTACCTTATTACATCCCTAGTCCTCACTTTCTCTCTGGAGGCTGCAGGATCCTCCTGTTGGCTGAGAATTGCTTTGCTCCAGAGAGACACTTGCAGGGAACTTCACTCACAGAACAGCAGAGCTGATCCTACAGGGAGTCTGGTGCAGCTCACAAGCAGCAGCTGCCCCCTTCCTGCAGAACAAGTGACTGAATATCCTGGGAGGGAGGATCTCCAACAGAACTGCACCAGGTTGGTCCTAGAATTTTAGCTCTTGGTCATAAGGAAGGTTCTAGGAAGACCAAATCACTGCAAAAAGTACAGTTATCTTCCTGCTGACAAGGGCTTACAGTGTTCTTTGGCTGGATACGAGCTGTCATTGTCTCTCCCAAGATATTCCACCATCCCTAAAACACTCTGTCCTCAGCTGCAGGATGTTCTGCTCATGACACACTCAGCTTGGGAGGCAAGCATTCCCTAAACTGTGCCATGTCTTGGCCAGACACTCCTTTCTGGATGCATGGAAAGGATCTGAATCCAAACCCCACGTTCATGTTTGCTCAGAGTGGACTAACACAGCTATGGGGGAACAGAGAACAGGGCATGTGCTAATCTTTTTGAAGGAAGGATTCTGCAACTGCCACCTTTCCACCTGGAACAGGCTTATCCACAAAAATACTGTTTGGATTATATACCTTCCTGTTTAAATTATATTCCTTTCCATCCCTGCAAGTGTCCAAGGTCAGGTGGGAGGGGGTTGGAGTAACCTGGGATAGTGAAAGGTGTCCCTGCCCATGGCAGGGGGTGGAACTGGATGAGCTTTAAGGTCCCTTCCAACCCAACCTATCCCATGATTCTATGATTCTACATGGAGGGACTGCTTGAAAAAGAAGAAGTTTGAAGACTGATCCATTAAATTGGAGTTAAATCTTCTTGCTACATTGCTTAAATACCTACACAGGTATTTAACACAAAAGTCATGCTCATTAAGTACCAGAAGTGCTTTCAAACCCTTAAGCAGCTTTTCCTTTTCCCGGAGGGTTTCCTGGATCAGCTGGTAAGAATTCCTCCTGCCCCAGATCTGCTTAGTCCTTAATCATTAAAGGATGCTACAAAGCCATGAGACACTAACACAGTTTCACTGAGACTCTGGTTGGACCAAAGAGTTCTGGGATAGAAGGAAAAGAGAGAGAGGAAAAAGAACCCTATAAAAAGGGTGAGCAGCTGGTGGTTACCTCCACATCTGTGTTTGGAGAGCTCTCCTTGGGGTTATAGTCAAAGACAGCCACCATCCTGCGAGGAGTCAGCAGTTCTGCTTCAATGTCTTCATGTTTCTGTCCTGCAGGACAAGAAATGAAACATAATATCCTGAGCTGGAAGTACCAGGACAAAATCCCTGATCACAGCAACTCCTTCAGCATTTTTGTAGTGAACTGAGCAAAAAGAACAGTGGGGGAACTGATCGAAGAGAGACCTCAGAGGTGTTTGGTGAAGCAGTTTTCTGATCTCCTCTATCACCTCATAAGCACAGAAGTGGGGACATCTCCCCATTCCAGCATCCTGGTGTTCTCCCTATATATAGGAATGTTTAATGCTTTCAATTTATCCACACACATATATATGTGTGCACGTGTGTATATATACACAGAGCACAGCAGACTCCTCACAGTGTCTCAAATGGACATTTCTCCTCCCACTACACAATGATTTGCTGTAGAGCTACAAAATTTATCCTCCAAGTGCCAGGGGAACAGCACAAAGGGATCTCATCACGCAGGGAACAACACTGCACTTCCACCCCCACCTGTCTGCTGAGCCCATTCCTGACAGAGCTGCTCTGAGCCTACAAAAGCCAAGCCTGGTGTTCCAGAAAACACACATTGTCCAGCATTTCATCTCACGGATTTAAACCCTGTTTCAGGTCAGAACTGGATGGGCTGGCAAGGGGTTTGCCTTGGCTTCTCTGGACACCAACAGATGATGCACCAGATGAAGCAGAATGAGCACCCTCTGAAAGGACCTCGGATCCTAAGGATGAGTGAGGGATTTCCCTGCTCCTCCACAGCACAACCACGTGTGCCCTCCCCCTGCAAACACTCCCTGCTCATTCAAAGGCCACTGCACCCATGACTAAATCAAAAGAACTAAAACTCTTCTTTTCTTACAGTCTCAAGCAGCACCACAGGCCCCTGACCATAAAACAAGTCTGTATTTCAATCAATCATGGTAAAAAAAAGAGCAATTCTCACCTGGCTGAGACTTGTACTTCTCTTCCTTATCCAGCCCTGCTGGAGGGAAGAAAATGCCTCATCAGTGAGAGCTCATCTTCCCACAGTGACCACAAGACACAAGTGACAAACCACAATAAAAAGAACAAAGACCAAGGCAGCAAACAACAGAAGCAAACTGGTCATGCAACTCAAAGTCTACGCCAGTAACCAGGACTCAGGGACGTAACAAGAAGCAGAGGTCAAGCTCCAAAACTATAAAAGACATCACTGTTGTTAAAAACTTAACACCAGCACAGGGATGGGCTCTCTGTCCACTTCCTAGCAGTCGTACAGAGACAAACATCTGGGGGTCCTGTAAGCAAGTAGTAAAAATTCAATGCAGTCTGTAATCCTAGTGCAGAAAGCAAAGAGGAAGCGGTGGGTGACACAGACCTTTCTTGGAGCGTCTGGGTTTTGGAGGAGGGACGGTTTGGCGGCGTGGAGGTGGAGAAAATGTGCCATTTCCTTCATAAAAATACCAAAAAAAAAAAGCAAATAAACGGACAAGAGAAACAGACAGTGAATAATGGAAAGTGAAAAGCACCTTGAAGAGTGAACAGGGAACAGAGTGGCGGGACGTGCCTCCCCCGGGAAGCTGACACTGTGATTTCTGTGGGCAAAGCCCAAATCTCCAGTCCTTGTATGTGGACTCGGGGGAGGCATGATCCACATCCCAAATACACACAGAAATCCACACTGTGCTCATGCCTTTCAGCCATTCCACAGGCCACAGCAGACAGGCTTTGCTGCAATTTAACTTTCAGAAGCAGGATCACAAGGACAAAATAAAACCTTGTTCTGTTAACACCTCGAAAGTGTCAGGTGAGGTGGGAAGGGATCTAGGGAGGTCTCTGGCTAAAGCTTCTGCACTGAGCAGGGTCAGTACTGGATGAAATGCCCAAAGAACCTGTAGAAGGAGTGCCCAGACCAGCATGGCCAAGGCCATTTCCTTAGTTACAAGGCTGTGACAGGGGTTTATGGCAGCAGGAAAACAGCAGAGGGACAGCCAGCCCAGCTGCCAAGGGATCAGAGAATCCTTAAGGTCGGAAAAGACCTTTAAGATCATTAAGTCCAACCCCCACCAGCTCCCCCCTCCTGTCAGGGAGTTGCAGAGAGCGAGAAGATCCCCCTGAGCCTCCTGTTCTCCAGGCTGAGCACCCCCAGCTCCCTCAGCTGCTCCTGCTGCTCCAGATCCTTTCCCAGCTCCATTCCCTTCCCTGGACATGCTCCAGCCCCTCAATGTCTTTCTTGCAACGAGGGGCCCAAAACTGACCCCAGGATTCAAGGTGTGGCCTCAGCAGCGCTGAACCTGTGGCCACTCCCTGCACACACACACAAGGTACATCTTTTCCACTACCATCACCCTCCTGAAGACTTTCACACCCTCCATCTTTCATGAAGTCTCAGAGCTATTGAGTTCCTTGATTTTTCCAAGAGTATCCAATAGGGCAGGGGACAGAAAGCCTTGTGGAATCCACAGAGGGACAAAGGCCACTACAGGGATCCAGCCGTTTCTGGGCACTGGAGGATACATACAGGAAAAAAAGAGTATGGATGTGAAAAACACCTTGCTCAAATCTCCTCTTCCTAGACATGAGAGAGGCTGAAGGACAAACCTACCAAAAAAAAAATATCACACAGTGAAAGCATCAGGCTCCTCTGATCCCTGTGCTCCTCAGGATCAACCTTCCAGAGACTCAGGATCAACCTTCCAGGGACCCACATTCAGGAGCTGGGCAATGTCAGCCCTTTGGAATCACAGAATGGTTTGGATTGGAAGGGACCTTAAAGATCTAAAGACCTACTGGGGCTGGATACTGGGCCTCCCTGCACAGAAATGGGAAAAACCTGGACTGCTTCCTTTTTTCTTGGGTTTCCTCATTCTTGGATTGGTTGAGTTTTTTCCTCCACTGCCTGTAAGAGGCAGAGGAACAGCCCAGGCAGTGTCAGGGCTTTCCTTTGCCACGAGCCACATTTGTGCTGCTTCTCCCTGCAGAACTGGTAGGGAAACAGGGATTCCAAAATAGGAATTTCCTTGTGTTTTAACAAGTGGAGCAGGTCCAACAATTGGCACTGGTAGCAGAGAGCACACAGAGGGTGCAGGATGAGATATGGGAGGGATAAGGGACAGGCACTGGGACACCAGTGGTGACAGCAGGGGCAGCCCCTGAGCCTGACTGAGCCTGAGCTGTGCTGGCTGCACATCCCAGGGATGGTTCCTCTCCTCTCTCCCAGTACATGAGTGGGAAGAAACAGGAAAGTCTCTGCAGTGCACAAAGCACTGGGCCACATACTCCAGGGAGTAAGTAAGGAGGAACCCAAGGACCAGCTCTGCTCCCTGTACACTCCTGACTGCCTGCCTTGTCTCACACCTTTCCCTCCCCATCTTCCTCCATTCCCAAGTCCCAGATTCTCTCACCCAAGAGCAGGGTCACCCCCATGGGTTCAGTGAGTGAAAACTCTCGTTTACATCCTTCAGCTGCCTTCCAAACCTTTTTGTCTCCCCCTCCCTAGTGAGGATCAGCCTCACTCCCTCTCTGCTGAGTTCACACACCTCAAGCACAGGAGCAGCTCCAGCAGCTGCAAGTGCTGCAGTGGAGTCAGGAACAAACTTGAGAGCTGGGAACACCTTCCTCCCTCAGCCAGAGAGACCTCCCTGCTTGTGCAGCCACCAAACCAGGCTGCAGATCCCAGGACAGCCCTGTGGATGGTTTTGGTGGGCTGCACTGGCCACAGAGCACGACTGAGCTTTTCACAGTTCAGCAGCAGGGCACACACAGACCCAGTACCTTGGCTCTCCGTGGCTGTGTCAGCAGGCAGGAACCCTTGCTTCAGGAGCTGCTTCTTGAGTTCATCACTGTCCACCTGCACTTCTGAGACCATGTTGCATGGGATGTATCCCTCCCTTCCTGCACATTCACCCCTGTAAAAGCCATCAGCATCCTTGTCTCCACACACCTGCAAGGGAAAGCACAGGACAGACACTGTTGGTGCTGCAGGGACTGAGATGCACAGAGAAAGAATCGTGGAATATCCTGAGCTGGAAAGAATCCACAAGGATCACTGAGTCCAACTCCTGGCCCTGCACAGGCACCCCAACAATCCCACCCTGTCCCTGAGAGTGTTGTCCAAACACTCCCTGAGCTCTGGCAGCCTTGGTGCTGTGCCCACTGCCCTGGGGAACCTGTTCAGTGCCCAACCACCCTCTGGGGGGAAGAATCTTTTCCTAACATTCAACTTAATTCTCCTCTGACACAGCCCCAGCCATTCCCTCAGGTTCTGTCACCAGTCCCAAGAGAGGAGAGATCAGTGCTGCCCCTCTGCTTCCCTCCTGAGGAAGCTGCAGACCTCCCAAGGGTTATGCTGTCCCTGGAACACCAGATGGATCCATACAGAATAGGAATTCACTACTCTTTTACCTTCAGGATCTGTCCCTCCTTAAATGGCAGCTCCTCTTCTGCTGCATCAGGGTTAGGAGACATAGAGACAGGATCATAGTCAAAGAGAGCCACAAATATCCTAATGCCATCCTCCTTGGCAGAGGTTTCGGGAGCGGTGCTCCTGGGAGGACCTGTGTGCAGAGGGGACACACCAGAGAGGACATCAGCACCCTGCCCGTGCCACAGCCCTGCACGGCTCAGGTGCTCCCTGCCAGCCTCTCCCTGCCTCTTCCAGGAGCTTCCCTTTCTCCTGCTGCCCACCTCTCTCCCCATTCCTGCTCACCTGCACTAGAGAGCAAAGGTTTCTGCATTTGGCTTCTTCTTACGCTCTTGCTCCGTCTCCTGCTGGGAGCCTGCCAGGCTGTGCCGGCCAGCTCCGGGCCCCTGGAATCTTTATTACTGGATGCCTGCAATTGGAATCACCAGAGTTAGTAGCAGCCTCTGCCTTGTGACTCAGTGAGCAGCGCTCAGCCCAAATGCACTCCACAAAGAGCAGAGCATCCAAATGCAACATTCCTCTTCAGGGACACTCTAGAGCTGGAAATAACCAAGGGAGTTGGAAAACAGATGTGAGGACAGGCAGGAGCCCTGCCAGGCCCCAGCGATGATCCCCTGGGCGAGGGTGAGGAGGCAGGAAAGGGCATTTCCAGGGGAGGCAATGACATTACAGTCAGGACCTACACCAATGAGCTTATTTCAGGAGAGATTTTCATTTGGGTCCCTCCCACAGCCTCCTGCCGTGGGGAGGAAGAGCCAGAGTGAAAAGGAATACTGCATCGGTGCCACTCGGTCAGGGAGCAGGAAAAGCAGAAGCAGCTACTACAAGAAAAGCCACGGAGCAGCACAGAACTACAGAATCTCTCAGATATTCTTCCAGACAATCCTAGAGGAGGCTCCTTTCTCTCTGGACAACACTGAACAAAGCAAGATACAGGCAGGCCAGGGAAGCAGAGGGAAGCCAGAGCCATTGCAAGCTGCTTCAAAGCCAGAATAGGAAAAGTCACCCAACCCTTTTGTGCAAGGAGGTGCTACGTATCCCCTTCGAAGGATGTTCGAGCCTCCTTCTCCAGCCAGGTGACTTACAGTCCAGCTCCCAGCCCTGCTCCTCAGAGCTGCTCTCACATTCCTTCTCCCGGTGGAAGAATCGCACGCGCCGGCTCGGAGACGCGGCCCATTCCAAACCCTGCTCTTCCATCACCTCCAGCCTGGTCAGGTCCCTTCTGCCATCCGTGTGGGGAGCCTCAGACTGACTGGAGCAATCACTCCAGTCGCCCTGAGAGCTCTGGGACCTCTCTGGCCACAGCCTGCTCTCAGGGGAAGAAGCACAGGTCGAATCCTGATCGTCTTCAGAGTCGTATTCAATGTCTATCTCCAGGCTCCTGGGGCTGGAGCAGCGCGTGGCCATCACGGCAGGTTCTGTGCCCCCTGAACCCGCTGCCTTTGGGGTTTTTTTCCTTAGGGTGCCTTGTCTGGCACGGCTGTACAGATCCATCCCTTCCTTACCACTGGCACTGCTGACCACGTTGAGCTCCTCCCTGAGGCTGGGAGCTCTGTACAACCCACTGCCCATCTGGCTGCAGTTGCCCAGCAGGCGACTGCAGTGCTCTGTTAAATCACTCTGTCTCTTCCTACCCATCTCAGGCCGACTCCGGATCTTCTCTCGATAGTTATTTCCCTTCTTCTTGCTCCCAGAGGGACTTGCCCCACTCACAGGCTTCGGATCGTTCTCCTGGTAACCCCAGCTCCAGTTTGCCTTCTTCTGAGCCCAGGCCAGCTGGCCAAAGGCAGGGTTTGCACGGTCAGCATCCCCTCTGCTCTCCTTAGCACCATGCTCCTCCCGTGGAGTCTGAGCAGACACCACAGAGGTGTTATTCCCATCTGCCTTTGGAAATGGCTCCTTGCTGTTGGGAGGCTTCTCTGTCCTCCCTGAATGGTAGGTCTGTGTTTCCAAGGAATCTTGAGGGTCTGTCTTTTCTTCTGTCACACACTTCTCATCCTCCTCTTCCTCCTCGTCCTCAGTCACTTCAGGGATGCTGAACAACTTCTTGCTGTGGTTCTTCTGAAGCGGGAGCTCCAGTATCCTCTCCAGAATCTCCTCATCGCTGTCAGTATCACAAAGATCCATCTGTACACCCAGACCCCGAGAAAAGCCACAGCCAGGACAAGCAGAGGAAAAAAGAGAGGAAATAAACATTAAAACGAGAGGCAAAGTGACCCTGGTTCCCTCCCAGCACAGCAGGATGGAGCCGTGGCTGCAGCCAAGCGAGGGGAAGGGGCAGAGACAGCGATGGATCTTCTGGCAAACACAGTCGGATGAACCAGCAATGCAGCGGGAAGCGAGGAAGGCAAATGCATGGAAGAGCTCCCTCCCAGCCTCTCCTGTACACACACCACTACCTGCAGCACCTTTCCTCCTGCCACGTGCTTCCCATGGCTTCGGCACCCCCTGGGATGAGGGGCAGGAATAGCTCATCCCTCCACGTCAGGGGCTCCTCCCTCGGTGGGGCTGAGCTCACACACGGACCTGCAGCCCCCCCTCCCCTCTCTGCCCTTGTGTTGGGGCACTAAAGACACCCCCTGGAGATGTTGCTGCTATGGGAGGACCTGCCCTGGGCCCTTCCCATCACCTTCCAGAAGTCCCGCAAACACATAGGAAAACCCTTCACCTCAAAGGGTCACACAGACTTGCAGCTGGGTGAGAGTCTACCAGGTTACAGCAAATTTTGGGGAAAACACTGCTGAATTTTAACATTTGTCATGGACCAACTGTAGAATTTATGGGTTTGTTTCTTATTATATTTACAGTAAAATAAAAGGGAGAATCCCAGGTGTAATTTCGGTTGGAAGATACCTCTGGAGGTCTCTTGTTCAACTTCCCTGACAATTTATATCATTATGTGTTCTAAAGACATTTTAGGCTCCTACCTTGTAAGTTGCAACTAGAAGTAGTCCAGAAAGACTTATTTTAGCTGTTTGCAAACTTATGGTTTCTGCTTTTGAGTTTTAAGATAATAAATGCTTTCAGAAATTAAACAACTTATTTGAGGTCAACCATTTTAAAAGCAGCACCTCTCCTTGTTTTCATCCTCCAGATACTGAAAGAGTTGGCTGAGGAGTCCTGAGATAACAGAAAATGTAACCAAATACACAGAATCCTACAAAACAGCTCTGCTGGGACTTGGCCTGCTCCAGTCACCATCTTCCTTCACTCCATAAGGCAGTGTTGGGAGCTCTGTGCCCTAAAGCTTCCTGATCCTGATGTCCTCTCCCCATTCAGCATCTTGTCACCCCCACCCTGTCACCACCAGGGCAGAAAACAATCACTTTATCAGGTCAAGAAGCATCAGTTTGCTCAGCTCAACAGAAAAAAAACCCAAACAACCAAAATCATTCAGGCCAATAAAACACTCAGGAAAAAAAACCCAACCAAACAAAGAATGGTGTTCTTGAATGTTCTTATTTCCTCTGTTCTCCTCTCAGGAAGCTGCTTTTCTTCCATTTTTTTCCACTGCAATCCCAACAGCTGGAAGCCCTTCCAACAACTCCTTTCCAGGCAGTCCCAGCCCCTCCAGCCACCAGGCTCTCCTGGAGCTCCAGATATGCTGCACTGCAGGTCCAACCCCTCACCTGGGAAGCAGAAGCTCCTTCAGAAGGAGAAAAGGAGCAGCAGCAAATTCATTCCAGAATCATTGCACTGCCTGCTACCATTTAGTGCTCACCAGCCCTGTCCCTGCAGAGCAGCAGCCCCACAGGGCACCATCAACTACAGATGTTCTTTGGTTGCATAAAAAAACCCAAAGATGGTGCTTTCTTGCCATCCAGACATATCACAGTTCCTTCAAATCCTTCTAATTTCCCAGTCTTTCACCCTCAGTACTTTCTCTCATGGATGTTCATCCCAACTGCTGTAATTTGTAGGATTCCACAGCACTTCCCAGCCACGCAGTCGGAAGCACATCACCTGCCACAGATGCATTCAAACACATGAACCAGCTTGAACTCTTGGAACATGAATTAATCTGGTCACTCAGCTCACTCAGGATCTCCTCCCTTGCAGCTACTGAACTGCAGAGCCACAGCTCTGCTCCTACAAGGCAACCCTGGCTACACAGAACAACAAGGTCTAAGCCAAAAAATCACAGAATCATGGAATATCCTGAGCTGGAAGGGACCCACAGCGATTATCAAGTCCAAGTCCTGGCTCTGCATGGGACATCCCAAGAATCCCATGCCTGTTTTGCCTTAGGAGGGAAGGTCAGCTGGTACAGGATGTATAGATGGGTGGATTTACAGATCCCTATCTGTTCCCTGTTTATATCTGTGTTAAGAACTCATTCAATAGGATCAATTTTAACCCTGGGCTCTAAAGTTCACATCACATTGTGTGTTTTTCCAACTAATTAAACCCCAGCTACATTCATTGCATATGAACACCCTTCCCTCTCCCAAAGAACTTGTGTTTTTACTACCTTAAGCCTGGGAGTACAAGCAGAGCAGGCAAGACCTTAGGAAAGCACTGTTGGGAGCACTGGGCTCAGCCCGGCACCTCCTCCTGTGAGCTGATGGCATGGGATGGCTGCACTGGCACTCCCCACGAGCAGTGCCCTGGACAAGTTACCTTTTCCCCATTCTCCTGGTTACATGGCTCACTCTGGTCCCATTTCTTGTCTTCCAGAGCTTCTGAAGACAGTTCATCTTCTTCCTCCTCTTCCAAAATATCTGACAGCTCAGAACTCCGGTTGTGCTCAGAGAACAGGGTCAGCTGCCGGCGGCCCATTTCAGCCAGTTTTTCTTCTTGCTATTGAAAAGTAAAACAGATTTTCTCAGTCCTCCCAGGCTCTATTCCAGCAATAAAGGAGTGTTTTTCCTGTCTCTAGCACACACACAGCTCAAGAGTGGCAGGAAAAAAAGTGGGAAGCACCCAAGGCAGCAACATGTTGACACACACGCAACCATCAGCCTGCAGAAGAACAGCACTGCCTAAGGCTGGAAAACGGGGGATGTCAAACATAATCCACACCTCTCCATGGACACAGACACTCAACCAAGGTTAAACAAACCTCTCTTTTCACTCTGGACATTTCTTTCATCACCTCCTTGCCAGGAGACAACCTGCAGCTGCTCCCGCCCGCGTTCCCATCTCGGAAGGTGTCCTGTGTCCCCTCAGCCTGGCTGGGTGAGGACACAGGCTCTGGGCTCAGATGCTTCTCCTCTGCCTCCTGTCTGTCAGCACTGGGACCTTTGGGGGACTCCTCCACAGAGGTCTCCACATGGAGCTTCACGCTGCTGTCAGAGGGGCCTTCCAGCTCTGGAGCTTTGGATCCAGATTGTTCCATCTGGGAAACAAATCAAAAACCAATGAAATCAAGGGGAGGTATCTCAGGGTACTTAAGCACCAAAAGGGCGTCCTTATCACCCCAAACTCTGTGAGCCTCTGATGTGCTCTGTGTTGTTGGCATATGAATATTTTGGCAGTTGGGAAGGTTGGTCAGCCCTGGAGCAAGAGACACATGGTGCTTCTACTGCTGCAGCTCTGGCCACCACACCTTGCTCAGGTAAAGCCCCAGACCTGTACTGACAATAACTAGTTTGAAAATAGCAAGAGAAGTCCAAACTGTACAAAGTCATTTCCCACCCTCATAGGCCAGAGGAATGTCCCACACCCCCCCTGGCAGGTTGGCTTGGCACTAACCTGGAGCTGTAAAGGCTGTGAAGAAAAGGGGAATTAATGAAGAAGAATATACACAGAAAAGTACAACAAGCTCCTGATTAGGTCACCTAGTTGGATTACAGGAATTTTTCATCTGTTTTCCAACCAGTTCAGTTTGGTGTGTCAGAAAATCTCTGGGAGATGGAGGAATGGAGCCCCAGGAACAAGGAGGGTAAGGGAGATGGGCCTTCAGCAACCCCCTCTTTCTCTCACTCCAAGGGAGCCTCCCTGCATTTTGCAATGGAGCAAAACCTTGTCCTTATCTACTTTGAAAATACTGAAGGATCAGACTCCAGGGAGATTCAAACACTGCATTGCCAAGCTTCTAAATATCCCCTGGGCTCAGACAAAAGCCAGACAGGGCCTGATCTCATGTCTCATCTGACAGCTGTTTGCCTTTGTTGACAGCCAAGTGAACAATCACACCTCAAGTGAGAAGGACAATTTCCATCCTGGGAGCACCCATTTCACTCTACAAAGGAGGGAACACTCTTTTCACCCTCTAACTCTGCAAATTCTTGCTTTCCTGACTCTGTTCCTGATCTGCTTGCACATGTGATCAAGAGGTGAGCCTCACCTGTACACAGCATCAGCCAAAACTCCCTGAGAGTTTCCCAACCACTGGATGATGACCCAAAGGCAAGAATGTCACAGAAAGATGCTCAGTGGCACTTGTTCCATTCCCCTTGCCAGCACACATGGCACTGGGCAGGAGATGGCAGCACTTACCTGCACTTCTGTGCCTTCTCCCAGGCCTTGCAATCCTGGTTCCCTGGCAGGGCCAGGCTCCGTGCCCTCCCCATGGAGCACTGTGTTCCCAGCCTGCTGGGGAGGCACAGACAGGCATTTCTTGTCTCCTGCAGTATCCAATCCCTGTGGGGAAGTGCCCAAATCCTGCACCAAGGAAGCACTGGGAGAGGAGAGGTGTGGTGCTGAGGAGGCTTTCTCTGGCAGAGCCCGCGCCGGGCCGGCGGGGCCAGAGGAGACATCAGTCAATTTGGCATCTGAGCTCGCAGCAGGAATGTTCTGTCGGAGCAGGAGCGCAGGAGTGGGGTGTGTGGATGGGCTGTGGGCAGGCAGGGAGCCCCTGGGAACGCCCCTGGGCAGCCTGGAGGTAACAGTGGTGGAGGCAGGTGAAGTGCAGGGATAGGCTCGGAGCAAGAGCGAGGAAATCTGGGCTGGAACTGAATCCACCGACTCCCCATACTGAGACATCGTCCTCACCGAAACCTCCCGGCACACCTGGAACATCTGGAGCTGGGACAGGTCCACCAGGACACTCCCAGCTGTTGGAGAAGTAACTTCTATCACCTGGGAGCAAAGGAACAGGGAGGAATTACTGTTTGTGCACACCTCAGCCCTTCTGAGAAGAACAACTCCTGACCCAAAGTTAAGACAGACACCAAAGCTCTGGAGAGCAGGTGTGCAGAATTCTCACCTTCTGAGGGCAGAATGAACAGTAAAGGGCAATTGTTACCATAATCATATGAGAAACTGGATATTCTATAAAACATGACTATATTTGCCCCTCTTCTGGACTTGCTCCTTCTGATGTCAGTGCCCCAGAGCTGGAGGCAGCACTGCAGGTGGGGTCTCATCTGAGTGGAGAAATCCCCTCCCTGGCCCTGCTGGTCACATTGCTTTTAATGCACCTTTCTTGATGGAGAACTACACCTTGCTCCTCACAGTCCAGAGACAAGCCCCAGGGCTGTGCCCTTGAACTAGTGCTCTGTCCGTGGCCTGTGGACTCACTGAGCTCCTTCCTTCCCCAAGGATCAGGCCAGTGCCTGAGGTGAGCAGAGGAGACTGACACTAATTGTCCTGTTTTGCTACTCCAAGGTCCTGCCACAGGAGTTTTCCCAGCTTAGCTACATCAAAACCACATCAAAAATCTGGAGATGCCTTTTCTGGCGTGTATCACACCTCCCCAACAACGTCCCTCCCTGATACCACTCCTTTCCAGGCCAAGGACTGGGATTGCCTCCTCAGGACACGCTTCTGGATCCAGCTTTCCATGCTTTGAGGCTGTGACACTGCCTGTTACTCCAGTCCCAGCCCCTCCTGCCCAGCCCTCAGCACCAACCTTCTGTCCATCGGCGTACACGGCATAGCCGGTGACTCGGACCCCGTTGGAAGACCCCTCGGCATCAATGGTGACAGGTAACCAGCTGATAACAAGGATACCTGGAGAGGGACCGGCTTCTACCTGGACATCCAAAGGAGCATCAGGTGTGCCTGTGAGAGACCAAAAACACGCTCCTCTTGCTTACCTGGCTACAGCACAAAGCTCAACTTTGGTTAGACTCAAAGAGCAAACTCCCACACCAGCTTTGCCACAGGAGAACTGAACTAGAACAGCCAGGCTAGTCCTGGGAAACGACAGGCAGAGCCAGAGGAAACAAGGTGCTCTTGTTCTGTGAAAGCCTTAATGCACAGAAAACAGAACTTTGCAAAAGTAGCTGAGGCCAAGCTGCAGCGACCCTTCGAGCGAGGTCATGGCAAACCAGCTCTCCCCTGCCCTGCCCGCAGGCATGCACAGGGGGGGTCTTCCCAGAGCAAACCAAAGCAAAGGGGGTAATAAAATTGTAAAAAAAAGAAAGAAGAAAAACATTAAGACAAAACAGTACAGCACCTCAGGCTTTGGGACCTAATCAACCTGGCTTCCCTTCATCCCAAGGCTTCCCAGCAAGGGAACGGCCGAGCGCACGGCTCCGAGCGCTGCATGGGATACCTGCTAGTGGGGTAGTGAAGTGAATCACAGCTGAGTCCTGCTCCTGCCCCTCTGGCACCTCTTCCCAGGGTGTTTTCATGGGCCTGGCCTCCAGCTTGGCCACGTACTGGGTGCTGGGCTGCAGGTTGCGGAAGGTGTACCAGTAGACCCCGGGCTTGGTCACGTCGCACTGGTCCCCGTTGAGGTACACGGCGTGGCTGTAGTTGCTGTTGCAGGGGAGCCACGTGACCTCTGCTGACGTGGCAGTGACACTCCTGACCTTGAGCATGGTGGGTGCCACCCCAAAATCCTGCCCCACAAAGAAGGTGCAGCGCAGTCTGTCGGACCTGCCGCGCTCGGTCACTGCCTGCACGGACACGCGGTAGGCCTTGCTCTGCAAGTCCAGCTTCTCAATCACTGCTTTGGTCTGAAGGCCACTCTTCACGTTCTGACGTAGCTCTTCATCCACATAGATGTTGTAGCTTTGTATGTCTGGGCAGCCAGCTGGCAAAAGAGGTGGGTCCCAGCCTACAACTATGCTTCTGGCAAGCTGCTTGATCAGAGTCAGTTTTCGTGGGTAAGGCACTGCTGTGTGACTAACGGGCTCCTCCTGGTCTCCTTCTGCTCTACTGGCCAGCGGGCTGATGCTACTCTCTTCAATGGAGAAATCACTCTTATCTCCACTGCTGGTGCTTGCACTGATCAAACTTTTCTCCTGGTATGAGCTATGGGTGAGATCATTCAGCTCCGGAGGCAGAAACGTCACGAGGTCATCATCTGAAACCCGCTCAACAAAATTGGAGGGGACCAGCCCTCGCCGGCCATCCATCAGCTCCCCTAAACAGAAAACAGGAGACCTGTTACCACTGCACCTGCCATTCAGCCTTCCAACCCATCTCTGAGGACTATGGGACAACACCCACGCTGGGTCACAACTGCTCTGCACTCAGGAACGAAAAAGACCTCTGGGAGGTTATTCCTGGCAACACTTCCTGCACTTCCGAGGGCTTCCCTGTTAGATCCCAAAGGCCACACTGAGAAGACTCACTGCTCCACACATTCCAGAGCCAACTAAGTGAAAAGTTGAGTTGTGTAATTAGCTAAAGGGTTTCTCCTTCTTCTTTATCCCATTGTTCCTCACCACAGCTCCTTCACTAACTTTTCTAGCCTTCCCAAACTTTGCAGATGGATGATTTTATGTCTTCTCCCAGCCACAGAGATTTGGGGTTTGTAGTACTTCCTCAAGAAAGTCCATCTTTCCAGCTCTGTATTCAGCACTGGCCTTCCTTTTAGCTCCCTCCTTTCTTAAGCTGGCTCCTGGACTAAAGGTGTCCCAAAAGCTCCTGTGGGGACAAGGGACACACAGCACCTGGTCCCTGCAAGACCCACCAAACCACAAAGGAGTAGGGACTGCGCTGCCTTCCCCCTTCCAAACTCTACCTACAGCAAATCAACTGAAAGCAGGGAAAGCAGAACAGGTTAGTAAAGAATAACCTTTTTATTCTTTAAACAAGAAATAAAAAGACAAATAAATGAATACATGAGAAGCTTGGGAATAGAAAAAAAGAAAGAAAAAAAGGAGGCAGAGCAGTCACAGAGCAAGCAGTGCAACACCCATGCATTTGCCTCAGCTCTTGCAAAGCACCTCAGGAAAATTAGGATCCTTCAGTCCTTAAGTGGCTCCACAAAAACCCCAGTACAAATTGACAGCCAACAATTCTTGGTTTCAATCCATCTGCCTCCTAATCAACCAGGATCACGTTTGCAAAGGGGCCAAAACAGAAACACGCTGTGTGACACCAAGGAGGATCACAACTGTAGTTTGGAGGGATTGTCTCATCCCCTCTCTGCCAGAAGAGCAGGAGGCAATGGAGACCATGACCTGCTGCAGCTCTGGTTCACACACAGCCCCTGGGAGGAGGGAAACAGCCCATCTGCCTGGGGCTGAACATGTTCCTCTCCATGGAGAGGGAGGAACCATATGGGGATGAAACCTGGAGCTGTGCTGAAAGCAGTGGCTAAATTCCCACTGAAATCACCAGATCAGGATTTCACGTTTTAGACTTAATTTAATCACGACATAAATAAACTCTTTCCAACAGAATCTGCTCTTCCCTCTAACAAACTAACTTTGGGCAGAAAACCTTTATCTTGAGGTTTCAAGATTCACTATATTCTCTCGTTTTTTGGAGAGAGATCAACTCTCCACAGGAGTTCAGCCACTTTTCATTCTGTTAGAACACACCTTCAAAGAAGCCATCTTCATCCATGTCCCCATAGATGTAAATATATTCTCCAGCAGTCAGTGGAAGCTCTGCCTCTGGATTTTCATTAGGTCCATCAAAAGGATTGTAGCTGAAATATTTACAGTAGGAAGACTTAATTTGTATAGGAACTTCCCCAGCAACACATCTGAGCTGTGATGTTGACAAGCTTTCAATTCACTGGGAATTCATCCACTCTTGCAAGCAGCAAATTCCACAGGCAAAGGTCAAAACTACAGTCTACACATAATAATAATTAAAAATAGGTAATTTTCTGAGGAGCAGAACAGATGTCTTGTGACATCTGAAGGAACAGGGATATGAGGATGATGAGGGGACTGGAGCATCTCTCTCCTGAGGAAAGGCTGAGGGATCTGGGATTCAGATCCTGGAGAAGAAACAACTGAAAGGGGATTTTATCGATGCACACAAATACCTTCAGGGTGGGTGTCAAGAGGATGGAGCCAGGCTCTTTTCACTGGCCCCCCGAGACAGGACAAGGGGCAACAGGCACAAACTGAAACACAGGAACTTCCACCTGAACCTGAGGAAAAACCTCGTTCCTGTGAGGGTCACTGAGCACTGGAACAGGCTGCACAGAGAGGTTGTGGTGCCTCCTTCTCCTGCTCCAACTCCACATTTTAAACAGCAATCCAAAAGCTTCACTGGCATGACAGTTATAAATACATTGGTGATGTGATTTGGTCTGCAGGTAATTCTAACCTGCCTATCCAGAGATCCTCAGATCATCAGAGGACTTCATGTCACAGGAAGATGCCTCATGAAAAACATCTTCACAAACACCTCCTACCAATTCCTGCTTTTTAGCTTGTAAAAGGGATTTCAACATGCCAAAGCAATGTTAAGGTCTCCCTCAGCTCACAGAGACCTTATGTACTCAAGACTCTGACAAGAAGACACAGATCAGATTCGACGTGTTCCTCACAAGCACATAAACATCCCAAATCTCTTCCTTCCAATCCCCAGTTTAAAAGCTGAAGGATATGTCAATACTCTTTGAATTGTAAATAGTAATGACCTTGACTATGATGCTCAGTGGACAGAAACAATTATTAACAGAAAAAAATTGAGTTTATTCTGTGTTTTTTTTCCCTGTCCTTTAAAAATTACAGCCAGAAAGATTTTGGCCAAAAACTTCAGGTATTCTAGGCTGAAATTTTCTTAATTGCTGGAATAAGACTTCTTGGGAGAAAATTTCTTGGACTATTCTGACAAAAAAAAAATAGACATTTCAATGAATATGTCAATTCAAACTGAATTTTCAATACAGTATCATAGTGAAAGAAAGGAAAAGTCTCACACAGGACTGGTCACTGAACAGCTACTGAGCTTACTGTGCTTTTGTTGAGCTAAGCCTTGCTTGTGCAGGAAATAACAGGTCTCAACAAATCATACGGTCATGGAATGGTTTGGGTTGAAAGGGGCCTTAAAAACCATCTCATCCCACCCCTCTGCCATGGGCAGGGACACCTTCCACTAGCCCAGGTTGCTCCAAACTTCATCCAACCTGGCCTTGGACACTCCCAGGGATCCAGGGGCAGCCACAGCTTCTCTGGGCAACCTGGGCCAGGGCTTCCCCACCCTCACAGGGGAGAATTTCTTCCCAATATCCCATCTATCCCTGCCTTCTGGCAGTGTGAAGCCATTCCCCCTCGTCCTGTCTCTCCATCCCTTGTCCCAAGTCCCTCTCCAGCTCTCCTGGAGCCCCTTTAGGCCCTGGAAGGGGCTCTCAGGTCTCCCTGGAGCCTTCCCTTCTCCAGGTGAACACCCCCAGCTCTCCCAGCCTGCAAATCCCATGGAGGAATAAGATATATGGTCCAACCTAATATTATCCATTCCTAACAGGGTGAATTCAAGGGAAGAGTGTGAAGAAGGCAACTCTGAGATAACCTGTGTAACCACACAGACCACAAGAAATGAGCTCTCAGTACCTGTATCGAGCTAAGAACACCTGGAGCTTTGCAGGGCCTTGGCTGCCTGGCTCTGGCATGAGGGAGATGCTGTCAACATCCAGCTCTTCCATTTCACTTGCAGTGTCCACCTAAAAACATTGAAGAGAAAGGATCTGAGTAAGGGAACACTCAAAGGGGTCAAACATCAGTGAACAAGTGCCCTAAGCTCATGTTTGGTGGCCTCTGGGGTAAGGACCATTTGGAAAAATGACTTTTTAGGTGAAGAAGTAGTAATAGGAAGCAACAGCTCCAAGTTGCAGCTTCAGGGGTTCCAGCCAGACATGAAGAAAAACTCCTTGCCCAGCTGGGTGATGCAGATTTGGGAAAAGTTCCCACTGAGCTGTGGGATCTCCATTCTTGAAGAACTTGTAGCTCAGCTCAGCTCCATCAGCTGATGTGGCCTCCTCAGCACTGATCTAGTGCTGGTGACAGTCCCACTGGAGCAGGACTTTGGACTAGAGACTCTGGAGACCTCTCCCACCCTACACATCCATAATTCAGTATATTTATTTCTTGTACTTTGAAACATTAGTTGTCCCTGTGTGCAACACAAACTTGGACAGAGGAGACCTCAGAGCTCTGTTAGATGTTGAGGTCTCCAAGTGCTTTTGTTCCCCTCCAGCACCTGTAAATTTTCAATATGATGTTTATGTACTTTCACCAACATTAGACAGAGCTTTGGGTGGAACTGGTAGGGCTGCCATGCTGAACAAAAAGCACAAGAGACAGAGCAGGCACAAAACTCATCTTCCTGCTACAGCCTCTCCCTTCCCAGCCCTCAGCTACTTCTGGATTTCCTAAGCTGGAAGCTGCACCCTCAAGGCATTTGGTGGCAGAAGCACCTTTGGGAAATTTACCTCAAGTCTTTTTCATCCTGGTAACATTTTGGAAGTTTTCATCCAGTGGCAATGAGTTGTGTAACCCAACCCTCCTTCTGGAGCAAATGCACTCGCTTGGGTTTGTTTGAAATGGTGCCAATGAACCAACTCAAGCTGCCTTTTGAAAGCAGACCTTGAGGCAAATGTGTTTTTGATGGAGACCCACTGCAGGCACCAGAATATAAAGTAGTTTTTCTAGTACATGAAGTACCAAAGTTAATCTCTGAAGGAGTCCAGAGCATCTTTTCAAGGCAGTGTACTCCTTGTAAAGCAATCCTGCCCCATGTCCTGGGACAACACACCTGTAACAGCCAAAGGAACACCCAGATGGAGCAGCTTTCAGTAGCCTGGAGTGTTCCCATAACTGTGTGTTGTTGAAGCCAAACGTTCCACACACTTTTCCAAGGATCCCACACTGACTCTGTAGGCACTTATCTCTCCAGGGAGGCATGGGGGCTTCCAAGCTTTCTCTGGAGCTAAAAAGCAGGATTTTTTCCCACTACAGATTTGAGAGCAGTCCTGTACCTGTTCCTCCCTTTGTCTCTGAACATGGCACTTCCCAGAGCTCCTACACAGTGGTGAGCACTGCCTCCCACAGCAGCCCATCATTAGTGCCCTGCCCTCAGCTCAACACATCAGTGTCTTCCACAGCTACAGGGAGACCAAGAAGGTTTCAGTGCTCAGGAAACACCAGAAAACCAAAAACTGCCACCCAGACCATCCCAGCACTGCTTTACCCTGAGCTGTCCCCTGAAGTGATGCACACAGAGCATCAAACACTCTGTGTGAACCCACACCACCACCCAAGAGCTCCTGGGGAGGAGAAGCACCAACTACCCATGAGATCTTGGGGGCACAAACAAGCAAAGCCTATTAATTCCAGCCCTCTTAGCACAAACTTGGTGTCTTTTCATGGTTTCTTCCACCAGCAAAGAAGTTTGAGCCCCTCACCCACAGCCCAAGGCCAAAAGTAGTCTGGACACAGCTGCTCAGCATGCCAAGAACTCCAGTTTGTAGCCTTTTTGTGTTTTAGTGGTAGCTGAGATGGCACAAGGAAGCTCAGCAAGAGCTTTCCCACACTTCCCACCAATCAACCTCCCCATCCCAGTCCTTCTCACACTGTCCAGCCAGTTATTTCCTTCCAGGAGCTCAGTAACATGTTGAAATCAGCATTGTAGCCATGGCACCCAAGGCCTTTTCAGTACTTTCCTACAGCTTTTCTCTGTTTTTTTCCCATTTTCTTCAGGCAGCCAGGAAGGAAGGAATGCAGCCTTACTGGGGAACCTGTGCAGCCTCACTGGTGCTCTCAGCAATGCATTTATTCCCTTCTGGAAAGCACAGACCATGGAGGGGCCTCCCATACTGACCTCTGGAGTTGGGCAGGACTTGGGGCTGTTGTGCATGGACTCTGATTTCGAAGAGCTGGACTGAGATTCCACTTTCTTGGCTTGTTTCTGAGCACTGGTGGGAGCAGCTGGGGAGCCCCCAGGGGTGTCAGGCACCCTAAGGGATGACTCCAACTCCTCAGCCCCTTCATTGTGAGCCTTCTTAGTGCTCTGGTGAGGGAGCAACCCAGGAACAGTTGATTCTGCAATAAAATCAGTTGTCCATTAGTCAGAGCCACAGACAGGATCCAGGATCAGCAACGAGCAGCACAAGTCTCTGCAAATGTGCCTCATTTAAGAGACTGGACACTCTGGCTAGAGAAATGCCAAATTCTCTTTATGACTACAAAACAAACCAAAAGTATTGACAACAGAGAGAGAAGGAGATCCCCAAATTTAACTAAACGTTCGCGTCATTTCCTTTACCCCTTCCCATTTCTAAGAACATCAACTCATTTGTGAAAACACTGGCAGGGACGTCCAGCACTCACCCTTCTCCCAGGGGGGCTGTGGGGTGGAGCTGCACAGAGCAAGGGGCAGCTCTGAAGTCACCAGAGTGGAGGTGAGAAGGTCGATTTTTCCCGTTTGGAGCCGGAATTGTTGGAGCTCCTGGGACAGGAGGCTGAACTGCTCTGTCTGACTGCGACACTGATCTTCCAGATCCTTCACCCGGGCCTGGCAGGAGAGACACGGGATGAGGCACAAACCCACAGCAAACCCACCAGTGAGGCTCCAAACAGCCTTTGCTGGATCTTTCCAGTGCATCTCAGACTTCAAAGGATGCTTTTAAATGCCCTGCCCAGAAACAGGAATTGGGAACTGGCAGCTCCACAGCTTTAGTACCTTTGAAAACCTGATTCTCCTCATCTATGAGGGGACTGATTGCATTATCCCTGAAAAGCTGGGTTTGATATTCAATATCCTGTCCCAGCCTTGCACAAGACCAGATGTGATAAGTCAGAGATAAATAAGCCTTGAAAAGAAAAGACTGGAGCATTTCTTGGAGCATTAAAGTCACATCACCCAGAGGAATTGTTCTCCCAGTGTTCTATCTCATCCATACTTCCAGAGGCTCCAGCAAGCTCCCAAAACTTTACCCTGCCCTCCCCACCATTCTGGGCAGGACTTCTGATTGTCCCTCTAGATTTTGGCTCCTCCAGGCAGCAGGAAGGGCAGAGATCACCCTGGCCTGTGTTGCAGAACATTCCTTTGATGTGGAAGCCCACACACTTTCCCACCAGGTCCCACAAGGAGGAATTGCTCCAGGACAATTCATGCTGAGGCCCAGAAAGCTACATCTCAACAAGATGAGATGCAGGGGAAATCTCTGGAGAGGGAAGGACACATTCCTACCATTTGTATTTTCTTAGATTCTCCTCCTACTGTCCCTAGAACTTCCCCTTATAAACGATTGCTGAGTCCTGGCTGTCCTTACACCTCCCCACATTCTCCCAGTGGTAGGTACATGAATTCCCAGGTCATTGCAACTGCTCCTTTCCCTCTTCTCACTCTTTTTTGTAGGTAAGATGCTCCATAACAAACGACTGCACTGCGCTCCTCAAAATTTTCCGTTCTACAAAACGCGTTTGAAGTGCTTTTCTCTCCTTCCAACTCAAAAAAATAAATCATGCCTTGAAATATTATGTGAGGCAGAAAGCCTGGTTTTTAGGCAGCTCTAAAAATAACACACCTGACCTGGAAAAAGCTTTCTCTGTGGTCTCAGAGTAACACAAAACCTTTGGAGCTGCTCCCTATTCGTGGGGGTGCCTGAATTTTTATTTCCCCATGACACATCTGTTCAGATGTGTCAGTTTATCCCTGGTTCCCTTCACGACTCCCTGGGTGCTCTCAGGCTTTAAGGAAAGCCTGGAGAAGTCTCTGAACTGAAATCAGATGCCATGAGTAACTTCCTGAAGTGTCCATGTTCTCCACTTGCTCAGAGTCAACTCCTTGTTTACTAAATCCCATTGCACAGGATTCCTCTGCAATCCTGAGGGTTTGCATTTACTTACAGTTTAGATTTTTCACATAAATGCTTCTCTCCCATACATCTTAATAAAGAAAAGAAACCATCAACAGGAAGAACAGTTGCACTGGATCAAAGTAGGGCTTCCTCAAGTCCAACATCCATCCCTGATCCCACCTTGGGACACAGCCCACAAGAAAACAGAGAGGGATTTCCACTGCAGGACCAGAGAGGGATTTCCTGCCTTCTCAGGAGCCATGAGCCAGCAGATGCATCTGGATATTGTGTTTAACAGCATCACAACAGTACCTTGTCCTGTAAATTTATTAATCACACTTTAAATCCATTTACAGTGGTGGCCAAGCCAATAGCCCAGATAATTCACAGTTTAATTCCAAGATCCCTAATTAGTCAGGTGTCTGTTAGATCTGTTATTCAAAATAACATACAAACATCCCTTAAGTCCTACTGCCACATCATACACAGTGTATACTTCTAGCAGGCTACTTGCAGGGAATCACAGCTGGGAAGAGCAGGTTTCCAGGGCAGTGCTGGGAGAAATGGGGATAAAGAAGAGGGAAATAAGGCCAGGAGCTTCAGGGAACCAGCAGGAATCAAGCCCCAGACACAGAAAAGACAGGAGATTGCTGTGTCCATGCCCAACTCAAAATGGAGAGAAAGAGGAGCCTCACACAACTGGGCCTGGGCAGTGGGATTTCCAGAAGAGGCTGCAAGAGCAGGAGCAGAGCTTGGTGGGCTCAGTTCAGCCACTGATTCCGGAACTGAGATTTTCCACAGCCAACCCCCACCAGCTCAGCCCCATCCTCTGAGACTCTCTCCTTCTTGGCTGGTCTACTCCACCTCTCCAGATGATGTTTTCCCTCCACATGTCCCTTGTTACCTCTCTCCATATCTTCTGCTCTGTATTTTTGAGGTGAGAGAATCCCCACTTTGCTCAAGGGGAACTCTAGAGCTGTGCAGTCCAAACTCCTGCTCCAGGCAGGGCTGATGCCAAAGGGATTAGAGGAAAGGCCATAATTCCACAACAATGTGGGTACAGCTTCTACAGGACGTGGGCACACCCCAGTAATGCCCTTCTCCAAAAGCTCACAACACTTCACTCACTTTTTTGACCAGAACTGTGGCTGATTTTTTTTTTAAAGTCCCCCTACCTCCAACCCTGCATCTCCTGCTCCAACAGGGAATTCCAAGCCCACCACTGGGCATGTCTAGTCATGGCTGCTTCTCCTCCCAAATGCCTTTGCACAGGCAGTGTTACCTGGGATTTATGTCCCTGTTACTCACAAGATCTCTGTCAGATCCGAAGGTGTTCAAGCAGTTTTCCATCAGCTACAAACCCCACCACTTCCACAGAAGCCTTGTTTCCAAATCACCAGCTAGCACAGCTCCCACACACTGGAATTTTGTTAGTTCCTACCTCTTCTGGGAAAACTATCATCCACAATCCCTGCTTCCCATCTTCCATCCAATTACAAAGCCAGCAGGGCCTGTCTTCTTCTCCACAACACTCCCTTGCAATGGTGTCACCACTGCTTTTGGGTTCTGAAGGAAACACTTCACTCTTGGACTGCAAGTAGTTCCCAAAAGACATTTAAATGCACGTGACATGTGGAGAAGAAGCACAGCTGGGCAGTTCTAAAAATCTGCAAGTGCCAAAAAAATTAAGCTCCTAATTCTAATTGGTCAAGGAAGCAAAGCATTTGAAGAGAAAAGCAGCTGCTCCATCGAACTCATGGTGGGAGCTCCTTTAATCACATTTATTCCTTGGCAGTGACACTCTTGCAATCTTTTCCAGAGTATAGCTAAAACAAGAATTATCAAGCAACTGTCAAAGTCAGGACAGAGGGAAAAATGTCCCATTTGACAGGATTATAGCAGTACCTGCATGCAATCCAAGGTACTCTGGGAGCAAGAAGAAAAGCAAAAAGAGATGTCAAACCACATCAGCAGTTACACTACCCCAAAACCAACACTCTCCAAACACAACCCAGCCCTCAGTCTCAATGAGATTGTTTTCTCACCACATCCAGTGTCTGCCTTGTTCCATACTGAGATTCCCACCTCATTCTTACCAAAAAAAAGCCAAATCCCACGTACCAAATGCACAAATAAGAGAACCAGGCCCTTTTTGAGGGCCTCCAAATCATCATGTGCTTTGAGTTCAATGACTCTGCTAAATTTCAGCAGACTGCACTCATCCTTCATTAATATCCCATCCAAAAGCAATCCAAACACATGGGAAAATGAAAACACACAGTACAGGCACTCCACACCCCCTAATTCTGCCCTACACGGATGTTCTGGGATGACTATGATTAGAGTTAAGTAATTTAAATGAATGTTGCTGCACACTAAACTAGCTTTTAATGATAATTTCTCTTTCTTTGGTCTACTCTATAAAATTCAAGGCCAGGTTGGACAGAGCAACCTGGTCTAGTGGAAGGTGGGTGGAACCAGATGAACTTTCAAGGGGACAACACATAATGTCACAGCCCCATGATACTCACCCAGCCTGCAACTATTTCAATCCCATTTAGCAGGAGTCCAGCACTCTTGGGTTCTACAGCTCAGACACAGGCCAGGCTCCCTCCAAAGTTGATGCTATTTGCAGCCATGGAGCAACATCCTCCATCAAGGACAATTCCCATCCCAATCAACAACCCTGGGCTCCCAACAGCCCCAGAGCTGCACAGGGAGTTCAGCCTGTCCCCTCTGACTGTAAGTCACCACTGCAGCAGGAGATGCCACTGTCTGGGTGGACAGTGAGGCCTTCTGCTTCTCTTGGGTGTTTTAGTGCTCAGAAAACCTCTGAGAGAGCACAAGATGATCCCTTTCCCATCACACCCAACCCTCTGGCAGTCACTAAACCTCCACATCAAGTTCCAGCGTTTGGTGCTTTGGCTTTGCAGCTCCAGGAACCCATAGCCAAGGTTTCCTCCAAAGTCATCCTGACTGACATTGAGCTAATGCCAAGCAAACCCAAAGCAGTGCCCAGCACATCTGCCAGGCTGCACTGTTACCCTGTTGGTGTGTTCCATGTGGATGTCAGAGTAAATGGGACAAGGGAGCTGCCTCAAGCTTCCTCACTCAGGCCACATTTCTCCTGATTTTCCCTAATAAAAAGCATAAAGTGCACACACACACACATACAAGAGAAATTTCAAGTCCCATGGACACAAATATTCTTCCTCTCTTTACGTGATCCCGGAGAATGGAGGAGGCAGATCTGAGGTTAATTATTTAATGCATCCCTGAAAGAGTTTTTGGGCAAAATCTGAATGAAGAAATCTGTGTGAGGACTGAGCAGGCCAGGATTTAATCCCTCAAAACTCTGACCCCAGATATTACTCTGCCAGCACCACTGATACTTGTTCTCAGCAATAACATTGCATCTGATCAAGACATTACAGCATTTTGCTCAAGAACCAACAAAACCCATCAGAGGCATCAAGAAAACTGGTAAGAAGAACAAAAGGTACGAAATTTGCAGCCACCAGTCCCTCTTGTTTCCTTCTGCCTTACCTCTAGAAGCTGTACTGCTCCTTCATGTTCCCTTCTTGCCTCTGCCTGCGCCTAAGGAGAAATAAGAAAGGGAGAAAATAAGAAAACCCACCTGAGCTCCCTTTTATCATCCCACCTGATAGTGCTTTATAGGTTGGAGCACAAGCCTGATGAGGAGCAGCTGAGGGAGCTGGGGGGGGGGCTCAGCCTGGAGAAAAGGAGGCTCAGGGGGGACCTTCTGGCTCTGCAACTCCCTGACAGGAGGGGGGAGCCAGGGGGGGGTCGGGCTCTGCTCCCAGGGAACAAGGGACAGGAGGAGAGGGAACAGCCTCAAGCTGTGCCAGGGGAGGGTCAGGTTGGATATCAGGGAAAATTTCTTCACTGAAAGGATGATCAGGCCCTGGCACAGCTGCCCAGGGCAGTGGGGGAGTCCCCACCCCTGGAGAGATTTAACAGATGTGTGGATGAGGCACTTGGGGACATGGGTTAGTGGTGGCCTTGGCAGTGCTGGGGAAGTGGTTGGAGTTAATGATTTTAGGTAGCTTCTCCAACCTTAACGATTCCATGGTTCTATGATTTAAAGTCTGAAAGCACCTCTGGACTTTGGGAGAGGTCAGAACTGACGTCCCTGAGCAAAGCCCTTCACTGTGCTCAGGTACCAGAGCACTCAGACACTGCCCTGGTTTACTTTATCCTGTAAACTCACACACACCTCCTCCGTGCACTGCATATCCAAGGAAACATATCCATCATTTTCCAGGGATTCAGAGGGTAAAATGCCCACCTCTCACCCCCCACACACCTGCTGCAGCCGCCGGACCTCCTCCTGCTTCTCCTGCAGGACTAGCAGGGCTTCCTTGTGCTCCACTTCCAGCTGCTGCCTGCGCTCGGCCACATTTCTCATGTGCTGCAGAACAAGGCACAGACAGGGACACTGCTGAAATCCTGTGTCCCACCAGCAGCCAGGAGCCAACCATGGCCTGGACTTCATGTCATCATTGCACGGGAGGAAGTACAGAACTCTCACCGCTCGCCAGAGCAACACAGAGACAATCATCAAAGTGATGGCCACCTTATTTCCCTTCCCACCCAAATCCCTGAAGCAGCCTTTCCAAACCTCTTCCCACTTTGGAAAGCCACGTTCTAGGATCCTGCAGAAGCACAATTCCCAACAGAAGCACGGAGACAAGGGAATGGTGAAAAAAGGCAAAGAGACAACATGTGCCATCCAAAAGCAGCACTGTCTGGGCAGTCCCCTGTGTGGATCCCACTGACCTTCAGCACCTGCTCTAGATTCTCCAGCTTGGTTTGGAGTCCTTGGTTCGTCTGAATCACTGAATCCCGTTCCTTGGTCACCAAAACAACCTGCAGTTTCAGGTCAGCATTCTCAGATTCAACCTGGAGAGAAGGATTTGCAGTTTTAGCACAAGCAGCCAGAGGCGTTCCCTGTATTTTTTGATTTGATTTGATTGAGGACAATTTGTTTCTATGTCTCAATAGGTTGATTTGCAGATCTGCTTTCTATTGGTAGTGATACCAAAATGATGAACCTCCTCTCCCTCTGGTTTTTATTAATTATTAATTAATTATTATTCATAAATAAGCATTTATCAGGCCTCAGTGTGTAACACTTTTTAGCATACACTGTTTCTCTCACTAGAATCATCTCCCCTCCCCATTTACAAGGAGGAAGGAACTGGGAGAGGAACAGGCTACATAATGAAGAGATAAAAGAAAGCACAAAGGTTTAAAAGCATTTTTCATCCTACATGGTAGAATTAAACACAAAGAACAGGACAGAAAATTTAGTAGCCTGCTGAGATCATCTTTACCTTCTTCACTTACTACAGGGAATTCCAGCCACATATTTTGGTTCCAGGGGGCACTATGGCCTCATGACTATTAGCAATGCAGATTACAAAGGCAAACATTTCCATTTACAACAGTTATCAGACAGTTATTTAATATTAAATATTAATATCAGCCTTATGCATGGTGGCAAATTGAGACAGGGGAGTGACAAGTGACTTTCCAAGTCCTGTGCATTACACTTGTCCAGAGAAGGAGCTGGGAACAGAAACCCAGATCAGCACAAAACCATTTCTCAGCTGGCAACTTGAAAACTTGGCACACCAGCAAAATTTTGCAGGAGCCAATGCTCCACCTGACCGAGACGCTGCTTTTACCTGTCCTGCCCATCCAGCCCTCTCGTTCAGCTGCAAGTTCTCCTCAGCCAGTCGTGCATTTTCACTCTGCACCTCCTGCAGCTGGATCTCCTGTCCAGAAAGAGTGGGAATTACTACACCAAGGCCCTCAAACTCCCCCAAATTATTCTGCAGAGCAGCTCCACTGCTCCTGTTTCCTGGTGCAGGGTGTTGGTGGGATGCTGTTGAGGAGCGGGAGGCACTGCTCTAACAGCCCCCTGTGCCAGAGGATGGAGTTGGAACTGGATGACTTTTAAAGTCCCAACCCAAACCACTCTATGATCTCTCAAGTTTTTTCTCTTCTTTTCTTAACCTCAAAGCCCAGAATCACAAAGAGATTTCCTTGTCTAGCTCCCAGCTCCAGTGTCACATTGTTTACAAGCTGCTGCCTAGAACTCCATCTCCACCCACAGCAATTCAAGTTTCACTGCTGGTTCGAGATCAGTGTCTTCTTGACAAATATCAGTTAAGGAAGGAAAATTATTTGGGAAAATGATGCTAAAGAGAGCACTAGACTGCAAAGTCCAGAGTTTCCAATGGCTGACTCTGAAAGCAGGATTCAGTGTGGAGTTAAGAGCATGAGCCTGCTATCCCTGAATTAGGGAATGCTGCCTCCGAGCACAGGCCATGGGCACATGGAGGGACACTGGATTTGTCAGGTCAGTCCATCTGCAACAACTTTGTACAGCACTAAAGGACTTTAATTGTTGCATAATCACATGACACACACACGCTTCCCCATTCCAAGGTTTTACATATCATCAAATATTTTCTGGCTGTTCCAGGAGCTAATTCCCTGTGCACACAGGCTGAGTACTGGTACTCCAAGGTGAGTTGGTCCCTTCTTGACCCTCAAAAGTGACTGTCTACCAACATACAAAGACAAACTCATTCCTTAAACAACCCACAGACATCAAACATCTATTCAGAAGGTCAGCACCCCTGGGGGAAGCCATACACTGCCAGCCCCTAATGCCACCAGAGCTGCTCAGCAGAGCAACAACAGAAGGGAGAAATCCAGGTGCTTTGCTAAGACCAGGAAAACCTCCCTGGAATTAAACAGAGGCAAGATTTCTGCCAACAAATATGAAACACAGGAAAAGGACTGTGGGTTTGTGCAATGACCATCCTGAGGTGCAGAAATCTTTCAATATTTGTCTGGAGTGCCTGTGAAAATGGTAATTATCTCCCCAAACTATCAAAGGCCATGGAATTTCATCCAGTGATTTATGTGGCTCTGCTCAACCCACGGGTAACTGAAAGACTAAATAAACAAGCCCAAAATCTGTGACACTGTTCAAATAACCAGAAAGATGGTGATTCATTATTAAGATGAGCTGGGAAATCCAAGAGAGACACAAAACAACCCAGCTCCTCTTCTCCCACCACGCTCACAACAGCAGGCAACAAGAACACTTACTAGTTCTTTGCATCTTTTATGCTTTTTCCTCACTTCATGCTCAAGGTTTTCACATTTTTTGCGCTTTTTCTTGAGTTCAAATTCCTGCAGGAAACAAGCAGAAGTAGATCAGCAAGTCCACACTCTTACAATGCACAGGAAATTCAAGGCCAGCCTCTCAGACTCAGTGCTGCATTACCGAATTTTCTCATAAAAATCTCTTTGTGACAAACTTAAACAATGTAGAAACCAAGGGAGATTTTTTTTTTTAAATGTAGGAAAACTAAAAAATTTTTTGAGTGAAACAACTATTTCTCTCTTCCTCAAGCCTTTAATCTTCTGGAAACAGTCCTGTTTCCCACTTGCACAGATTGTTCCTATTTGGAGAGAGCAGTATGGAGACAGGATGCAGGGGACAAAAAGACAGAGCTGTGCAAAATTTTCAGCTTTAAACATCAGCTGTGCTATTTCAGCCCCTATTCTCATCCAAATGACACCTAACAGAGCACAGACATCCTCTGCTTATGTACCTTTACGTGCAGCTACTCCTGCAGCTACCTCTTGGCTCCTCATGTAGACAAAAGTTGCTAAACCTCCCTGTGAACTGCCATAATTTGCTGGAAAAATTCCCAAGGGACATATTCCTCATCCACATCTGTCCCCAGTTCAAGTAAGACTAAACCAAACACAGCACAGAACCTACTGGCATGTTTTCCTCTCATTTTAGTGTGACATATTCCCTTGCCAGCCCAGCACCTGGAGCTGCCACCCAGCAACACTCTCCATGCAGATGGCCTGTGTTTTCCCACTGATTCCCCAAGCTTTCCACTTTTGCCAGAGCAGCTGCACCTAAAAAGACTTCAGTCCCTAAAATCTCTACCTGGGTGAAAAACCCAAGAAAAATAAAAAAATGTGGCATTCCTTCCCCCAAACCAAGTTCACAACTCACCAGCTGCTGGATCTGTTTGCTGCTCTCTTGGCCTGTTATTGCATTTTTGGGAGGGAAATTTTCATGTCCTTCAGAGGCAGGTCCCAGTGGTTGCACACCTGGTTCCACCTGGAAAGCAGAAGAGATGCCAGAGAGCTCAGGGACAGGCAGGACTGCAGGGCACACTCCTGGCAGTGCCACCTGGGAGAGCAACGCTCCCCATGAGACTCCTGATCTCTGAGCTGCACCACCGGGCACGGGGAAAGCTGGACACTGTGCCAGGGATCTCTGTGCCACCAGAAACCTGTGCTGGGAGTCTCCTGGAGCCCAGTGCCAACCAGTCCAGCTTGACTGAACCACCCCCATGCAACAGTGGCCTCCAGGAAGCTCTGAGATCCCAGTTCCCATTTGTGCCTGATGAGAGGCAGCAGCCACACCTTTCATGACCCTCCCAAAGCAATACAAAGATGGTCAGATGGGAGAGCAGAGCCCTCAAAGGGCAGGAATCAGAGAAGATGTCAGAATCTAAAGGCAGGGAAGAGCAAACACTACCAAGAAACAGTGTCCCACCTCAGCTGGCAGCTGAGAAGGACTGAAAGGGCAGCAGTTGCGTGGATTATGTCCCATCACCAAACCAAATGAAAGGAAACAATTTTCTGTACACAATTGTACACAAGTTTCTAACAAAATGCCTTTTCATTTGGGCTACAGACAAGCAAACCTTTAATCCTCTGAATTTTCCCTCTCAACTGGTATTTGACTCGACATTGTCTGCCCAGAGTAATCCCTTACAGCAGAGCAAGGCCAGAGACACACGGAAGAAAGAGGGCTTTGATAATGCTTAAAAAATTCAATTTTAAGTTATTTTTGCAAAACAGATTTTAGGGACAGAGCTAAGGATCTCTCTCAAACTGGACTGTCTGTAAGAACAACTGTAGAAGCCAACAAAACACACAGTAACAAATCACCAAGATTAGATAATTAACCAAGATTAGATTAATAACACCCAAGAGTTCAAAAAACCCCTTCTGGCACAAACTGAATCTCTCACTTCAGTAGGAACTGAATCAATACGTGCAGAGTGTCACTTCTCCAACACTGCCTTAATATAAATTAACTGGAAGGTGGCAAATGCCAAGTTTTAAGAGTATTCCAGAGTTTTAAGCATATTCCAGTGGGCAAACGTGGGAAGATAGACCAGTACATTTGACACCTGTTCTGGACAAACTGATAGAAATCGCAGCTAAGAGGCAAATGCTTAAAATAACTCAAACTAACTTATACTGGGGATGGGGACGCATTCACAAATCTATACAGAGTTTTTCCGACAAAAAAACAGCAAGCAAAGGGGTGCGGGAGATCCAGCAGAAACCTGCTTGAGTGCTCAGAACACCTTCACACCTTCAGCTGCGGTGCTTTAACAGGTTTTGGCAGACACTGAGACATCACAGGATGAGGGGGGAAGGTTTTTTCCTCGGGTAAATATCTAATAAAAATGAAAGGACTAAAAAAAGGAGGGAGCAGGAACTGTGCTCTCCAAGCACTGATGCAGCGGAGACAAACAGCGACGAGGGCCTCGTGACACTGAGAGATTAGAGAGACAAGTGATGGTTTAATAGAGCCCCAGTGCTCAGACAAAAAGGCAAAGAGATCTATTGGGGAAGGGAGAGAAAACTTCATTATGCCACCGTATAAATCAACGCCAGAGCCCGGGATAGCGCCGCACGTTGTCTTCTCCAGCACAAAACCGGCAGGGAAAACGCACAAAGGAAAGGAGACAAAGATGCTAGCACTGAATAATGGGAGAGGCTGGAAAGAAACAAAAAAAATGGCTGAAGGAGAAGGGGGTTATAAATCCACGGGTGACTCGGAATGGACGAGCGAGGAATGAATATATTCAACACATCTGCCGTGAGGGCCCGGGGGGGGCAACAAACGGGAGCAGCTGGTGCAGCTTGGGGGGAACACGCGTATCCCGAACCCACAGGGGAGTCTGAAAACTGGGGAGGGGTGGGAACCAGGAGAACC